TAGATAAAATAACTCTTATTAAACTCAAATCATTTAATTATCTCTACTAATGTTTTACGTGTGTATAACATTAGTTATATTTGTCAATTATTTTAATTTACTACTGTTATGATTTATTAATTTGCTTAAAAAAATTAACAGTGTTTTAATTTCATCATATGATGATTATTTAAATTATCAGCAACTGTTTGTAATCTAACATAATTTAATTTCTAAGTTTTCATTACTTTTAGCTATTATTATTATAAATTAATTTTAAAACAATTGAATTGAAGTTTAGTTATTATAAAATATAGTTTTCATGCACCTTTTAGTTAATTTGATTCATCAATTTATGTTCTTTTATATTTATTTTATTTAATGCTATCCTTTTAACTATGTTAAAACAGTATGTATTGATTTTTTTAAACATTATTTGATATTTTACTTTAGGTTTTAAATTTTTCACAAAATTTTTAAGCTTATTTGATATATTAATGTAGGTTATTTATTGATAATATATTGAAGTTAACAAATTAAGTATATCATATTGATACGTCAAAAAGTCTTGAATTTATGATAATGTTATATAACTAATAAATTAAGTATATTAAATGAAAATATGAAGAGTTATGAGTTTCAAATAAATATGTTGAAAGAAAAAATATTTCCTTTATAATATAGTAATCGTGCGTTGTGCAGAATAAAATTAAAACTTTTGGTAATCTTATGTTATTGATAATAAAAATATCATTTATATTAATTATAAAATAATAATTATTAAATTTAGTTTTTATAAAATTATAACTAATTTTAACAACAAATAAAATAACTCTTATTAAAATCAAATCATTTAATTGTCTTCACTCATGTTTTACGTACTATTGTTATGCTTTATTAATTAAAAAAATAATGATATTTTAGTTTCATCATGATAATTATCTAAATTATCAACAATTGTTCTAATATAACATAATTTAATTTCTAAGTTTCTATTATTTTTAACTATTTTTATTTTAAATTAATTTAAAAAACAACTAAATTGAATTTTAATTATTATAAAATATAGTTTTCAGACACCTTTTAGTTAATTCAATTCATCAATTTAGGCTCTTTTATATTTATTATATTTAATGTTTTCCTCTTAACTATGTTAAAAAAATATATATTGAATTCTTTTAAACATTATTAGATATTTTACTTTAGCTTTTAAATTTTACAACAATTTTTTAAGCTTATTTAATATATTAATATAGGTTATTTATTTAACAATATATTGAACTTAACAAATTAAATAATTTAAATATATCATATTGATAAGTCACAAAGTCTTCCATTTGTGATATTTACAACTAAAAACATATTTATGTTAATAAATTAAGTATATTATATGGAAATATGAATAGTTTGGAGTTTCAAATGAATGTCGTGAAAGAAAAAAAAATGCTTCCTTTATAATATAGTATGATATGATATGATTATTTATATCATCTATACTAACTATAAAATAATAATTATTAGATTTAGTTTATATAATATTATAATTAAATTGAACAATAGATAAAATAAGGTTTATTAAAATTAAATCATTTAATGGTCTCTTTACTCATGTTTTACGTGTATATAACATTAGTTATATTTTTCAACTATTTTAATTTATTATTGTTATGATTTATTAAGTTGTTTTTAAAAAAAATTCATGGTGTTTTAATTTCATAACGATGACTATTTAAATTATCAACAACTGTTTGTAATATAATATAATTTAATTTCTAAGTTTTTCTTATTTTTAACTATTATTATTATAAATTAATTTAAAAACAATTGAATTGAATTTTTGTTATTATAAAATATAGTTTTTAGACACTATTTAGTTAATTCGATTCATCAATTTAGGTTCTTTTATATTTATTATATTTAATGTTTTCATTCTAACTATATATATATATATATATATATATATATATATATATATATATTGATTTTATTAAACATTATTTGATATTTTACTTTAGGTTTTAAATTTACACTAAGTTTTTAAGCTTATTTGATATATTAATGTGGGTTATATATTTAACAATATATTGAAGTTAACAAATTAAGTATATCATATTGATAAGTCAAAAATTATTGCATTTATGACAATGTTTTGCAACTAAAAACATATTTAAATTAATAAATTATGAATATTATATGGAAATATAAAGAGTTGGAAGTTTTAAATGAATATGGAGAAAGAAAAAATGCTTCATTTATAATATAGTATGATGATATAGATATAGACTAGGTGAATACCTACGCAGTGTGCAAAATACAACAATATTTTTGAAATCTTTATAAATATATGTTTTTTTCTATGGTGGTATAGTTTAAATTGTGAAATTATGGATGAGTGCACTAAACTATGAATATAACGTAAATTGAACTGTGATTTTTTTAAAATAAAACAAAGAATTTCAAAATTCTTTTTTTTTTGGTATCTTTTTTACTTTCTTTACTTTTAACTTTATTTTATAAATAATATAAATAATTTTGAAAGTTTTTGAATGTTTTGTTTTAAATTGTGATAGGTGTATGATGTATTAAACTGGAAATGGTATCATTAAGTTGTGAATGATTCCATTAAGTTGTGAATTTGTAATGAATGACTTATTAATACCAACTAAACTCTAAATTTTGTAACTAAACTTTATTTTTTTTTGTATTTTTTTTTACTTTTTTTACTTTTGATTTTGTTTGTAAATAATGTAAGTAATTTTTAAATTTTTTGAATGTTATGTTTTAAACTTTGAATGGTGTATGATTAGGTGTATTAACTTGTAAATGGCTCCATTGTGAATTATGTTTTGAATTTTGTATGAACTTTATATTAAATTGTGAATAAGTGAATTAAGTTGTGAATGACCCAGAATCTTGAGGGCAAAAACCACCACCTCCAACTTAAGATCATGAGTAGGATACTTCGCTTCATGAGGCTTCAACTGTTTAAAAACGTGTTGGATTAAGTTGTCTACATTAATAAAAAGGTAAATAACTCTAAACCTTTATTATAATTTCGATTATAGTAGGGTTTCCTAGAGTTTCTAGATATTCATATTTAGTTGCTATCAATATAGAAAATATAGATCATTTGTAGGTTGTAAGTGAACTTAAGTGTTTAAGCGTTTTTCTGCCACATGAAATATTTTTTATAACCTAGAAAACTCATCAGTGGTATCATAGCCTTAGTTTTATTTGATTGTGCATTAAAATGAATTGATCAAATTAGGGTTTATGGAATTTAAACCCTAATGACTTAAAATTTCGACTTGGCTAAGGTTTTCTGGAACCCTAGCCACCCCCCTTCCCCCCTTATTTTTGAAAATGTAGTAGGAGTCCCTAAGGTTTCTAGTTTCCTTAATTATTATTTTAATATGATTTAAAACTTGAATAACTAAAACTTAATAAACCTTACCCATTTTTGAAAATTAGATGCCTAAGAGATTAAGATTTAGTTTGAGTTATTTCATTAATTATTTAACTGGTAAATAATTATTTATTCCATATGATATAAATTTATCTAATTAATTGTTTAATTGGTAAATAATATGATTTACATTTATTTAATGAATTGTTTAATTAAGATAAAAGAATAAATCATCATTTGGTTTCAAATTAATTAATTATTAATTGTTTAATTTGATAATTAATTTTAAACCCTAGTATTTTGAAAAGTTTTAAAATACAACTTATAATATATATGATTAAAAGTTTTATATATATATATATATATATATATATATATATATATATATATATATAGACAAAACTGCGAATTTGGTCCTTGTGGTTTGCCAAAACCTTTGGATGGGGTCCAAATAGTTTCCAGCTTGCACCAAAGGTCCAAAATCAAGGTTTTCTTGGGTTTTTAGTCCATTCCGTCATTGACCGTTTGTTTGGAGCCGTTAGTGCCTTCACGTGCCCTCCATGTGAGGGCATTTTGGTCATTTTAGGTACTTATTTTAAATAATATCATATTTCTCCTTTATATACATATACGCAATCCTCTTCCTCTTCTTCATTTTTATTTACAGAGAAGAGGATCTTCTACTTCGTCTCTTCTTCTTCATCTCTCGTCTACTTCTACTGCTACGAGATTCAAAAATGGTGCTCTGCTTCTGTGGGAATGTTGCTGTTGTGCGAACCTCATGGACTTCACGAAACCCTGGTCGTCGTTTCTATGCATGCCCTAAAATGGTTAGCAAACTCATATTAGGTTATGATATTTCGGTAGTTATGCAATAACTCTTCTACTTTAATGTATTCTTGTAGGGATCCAGATGTGCATTTTTGGGGTGGTTCGATCCCCCTATGTGTCAAAGATCAACTGTTATCATACCAGGACTGTTGAGAACAATGAATAGGTATGAGGTTGAAGTGGGCCAGCTGAAGATGTGTTTGCTTGTCTCGTGGGTTTTGTTTCTGTTGTTTGTGCTGTTTTGGAAATAGGAATTAGAGGTTAGGACTTTTTTGTTGGTAGTAACCACTTAAAAATGTTGTCTTTTGGTGCTAGAAGGTTTAATTGTGGTTTATATATGTTTTTGTTGGTAGTAACCACTTAAAAGTGTTATCTTTTGGATCATTGTATATGTAATGCTTTTATGACAATGGGAAGTGTAATGGTTTTATCCTTTTATGAATATGAAATTATAAAGGTTTGATCTTGACATGATATGCAAGTGTAATGGTTTTGTCTCTCCCTTTTGAATATGCAATTGTAATGGTTTTATATGCATACATTAAGTACATTGCCATAACATCTTCAGGCTTTGACAGTACAACATAAACAAATAACAAACAACATTACTAAAAGGGGACCATAACAGATAAATGTCAAAACACAATCATTACCAACAAAGGGCATTAAAGTACATTATCAAAAGGGCATCAAAGTACATTATCAAAATGGAACAAAAAAAGGCAACAAAGTACCAACTAAAGTGCATTAACAAGTCTTGACAAACATAAAAAGTACTTAAACATCAATTCCCATCTTTGGCCTTGCAGGTCCTGGCATTATGACCCTTTTGCTTACACTTACTACATGTCACAGTCAAAAACTTCCTGCTCAGTGATTGAGTTTCATTATCATTTTGACTTTGACTGTTTGCTTGCCTCTTACGTTGCTGGATTTCAATCCTTTCCTCTGCTGTAATCCTTCTTTTCTTTTTTGGCCTGCCTATAGCTTTGTTGTGTGGTGGAGGCACAAGAGTTGTTGGGCAGTCACTCTTAGGCCACATGGCTCTACCTTTGATAGGCTCCACCTTGAAGGAGTACATCTCTTTCCATGTATCAAGCCAATACACCTTATGCACATAGGTGTATAGTTCTCCTACCTTTTCATTGTTGTCTGCCATTTCATTTAGGCTTGCAATAGCATGTTTGCAAGGAATTCCAGTAAGCTCCCACTTTCTACAACTACACTCCCTTTTCTCCATGTCCACCACATGTTGATCATTCCATGGACCTTTAACCTGATACTTTTGTCCCCCATTCCATCGTGCATGATACTTACTAGCTAGTGTTGTGTTTGCTTCCAAAATCCTAGTACCAGTTGGAGTTAATGGACCTTGACACTTGTTTAACACCTTCATCACATTGCATACTCTCTTCATAAGGTACTCTCTGATGAACTCCAAACAACTGATAATGGGTTTGTCTCTCCCTTTTACAAGTTTGCTATTGAACACTTCACAAAGGTTATTCAATAACATGTCTGAAATTGCCCTTCCTAATAGTTCATTAACAAAACAACAGTTAGTGTATATCTATACTACAATAAAAAATAAGACAACAAATTGAGAAAATACCAGAAAAATGACTTCTAGCCCAATGATGTGGAGGGATTTTCAAGAGCCATTGATATGCTTCTATGTCATAATTCCTTAGCTCTACCATTACAGCTTCAAACTCTGGTATGGTGGTGGCTGTAGCACACCTCCAAAAATACTCCTTGTACTCTGTAGTCTTAAATAACATCCTCATGTTCTGGTATATGTGTCTAATACAGAACCTGTGTTCTGCATTAGGGAACAATTGTTCTATGGCTGGTAGAAGACCCTGTTGTCACCAAAACAAAATAAGAAATTATCATTAGTTTGTAATGAAACTAGTATGCAATATTAAATGTAACTATAGTACCTTCTGTCTATCACTGATAAAGGTGAAGTTGGAATTTGAATACAAGTCAAGATCTTCTGCAAGACACTGAAGAAACCATTTCCAACTTGAAGTGTTTTCACTTTCAGCAACAACATATGCCAATGGGTAGGTTCCATTGTTGGAATCAACACCAACTGCACTTAGTATTTGACCTGGGAAAGGTCCCTTCATGAAGGCTCCATCTAAGCCTAAAAATTCTCTCAAACCTGCCTTAAAACCTTTCTTCAAAGGACCTAAACACACGTATATCCTTCTGAATTGCCTGGTTGGGGATGAAACCACAGGTTCTGAAACCACATCAATCTTTACAGTTGTACCTTCATTTGTCTTTTGTAGCTCTAGTACATAGTCTCTCAAAGCTGCATATTGCTTTACGTAATCCCCTGCAACATTTTTGGTGGCTAATGCTTTTGCCCTAAATGCTTTCTCTTCTGAAATACTAACTCCATAAGTTGATTGGAGTTGCTCTTGTAGGGCACGAACAGGCAGTCCAGGATTAGCTTCAATCTGATCCATAATACGTTTGGAAAGAAATGTTGCTGTGCAAGATCTGATTTTTCGTGTTTGGAGGCAGATGTGTTTCTGATTATATGTCTTAATAAACCAATAGTCCTGTTCACTTGACCTAGATGCATGAAGTTTCCATGTGCATTTAACTTTATTTTGAGTTTACATCTTTACACTTTACCTTTTTCCCAGAGGTAGGTCCACCTACCCCACTTGCATTTAAAACTACAGTTCCATCACAAACAGCTGTTAATCTACTCTTGTTGTTTTTTGTGAATGAGATATTCCTCCTTGTCTCTAAAGCATGCAGGTCAATTTTATCTTTCAATTCTTTCTTGGCTTTATATTTCTGCCCAATATGAAAAGCTACCTTGTGCACCTCACCAGCAGAACATAAGGTTTGTTTCCCCAGCTCTTTGATCATTTCTCTTCTTTTCCTGTTGTCCCCTGAGTCATCACTTAGTGAATCCCACTCGTCATTGTCAATTACCTCCAAATCATCTTCTTCAACACTATCTTCATTTATTTGACCACCCATTCTTTGACATCCATTGAACTCTGCTTCTATATCAATATTTAGATTGAAATCCTCCATGTCGACGTCAACATCTTCAATTATGTTGTCCTCATCAATCATAAAGTCACTATCTTCATCTTCACTGTTTTGATTCTCAAACTCAATGTCATCAGGCTCCTCTTGTGTGCACTCATCATTGAAAGGAATATTATCTTGGCCTTCAAACCCATTAAATGGGATGCTATCTTGGTCTTCAAACCCTTCAAAAGGTTGAAAGTTTGTCATTAACTCATCATCTATGTTGATGTTAGTTGAAAATTCATTGACTCCTTGAGGATCATTATCTATGACAACTCTATACCCCTCATCTGCAAATCCTTCTACACCCTCACCATTCGATTTGTTCACATCAAGTTCTTCATTCACATCAATCTCTTTGTTTAACTCTTTTTCTGCATCAACTACAACAAATTCATCTACAAATCCTTCTACACCCTTACCCTTATCAACTTCACCACTTGCCATTGTTTTTTCAGCACCTTCCCAATCTAATTTAAGCATTCTACTACAAGACGATGCCCCTTTACTATGTTTCCAACCTTTAGACCTACTAAATTCAGGTGTTGCTGATTTGTATAAGGTTAATGCTAACCCTAAATCACCCTCACCAACATCAATTTGGATTGGAGTTACCACTTCATGAGCAACTACAGGTGATGAGGGTCTAATGCAATCCTGCTTCTCCATGTCTTCTATTATAACCCTTTTTGGACCAGTTGGGGACATAAAATATGTAAGCAAGTTCGTTTGACCATGCTCTGTGTACACTTTAATCATTTTGTTATTATGGGTAACATATCGTGAGAGATTACGCACATCATCATCGTTACCTAATGCTCGGAGTCCAAAGTCAAATCCTTCATTAGGCAAACGGAAATGGTAATACATGATTTCAGTACCATCATACCCTAATTCTCTCATCATCGAGTCTAGTTCATGAACAGAAAATTCATCAATGTCGACAACATCAAAGTACCTTACTTGGCCATTAATATACCTGATATTTGGAAACTTTGTGAAACTCCCTCCGTGATGAAGTTCAATAGAGAATATGTTGGGGTAACCATCTTCAAAACAGAAAGAGACGATTATTAGTTAGAGTTTTTCAAAGTTTGAAGCTTGATCATAAAATACAGAGTTTTTCTAAGTTTGAATCTTACCATAAACTTCTTGAATGTTGACAATCTCTCCAACATTTCTAAGTCCCCACATTTTCAAAGTTTCAGATGATCGTTAGGGTTTTTGCGTTTGAATCAAGAGGTATGAGTAGAAGACGAAGGAGTGAGGAATGAGTAGAAGACGAAGGAGTGAGTACAATCTGCACTCTTATTAATTGAAGTGGCGGCAACGGAGGCTGACCTAAAATGACCAAAATACCCTCACATGGAGGGCACGTGAAGGCACTAACGGCTCCAAACAAACGGTCAATGACGGAATGGACTAAAAACCCAAGAAAACCTTGATTTTGGACCTTTGGTGCAAGCTGGAAACTATTTGGACCCTATCCAAAGGTTTTGGCAAACCACAAGGACCAAATTCGCAGTTTTGTCATATATATATATATATATATATATATATATATATATATATATATATATATATATATATATATATATATATATATATATATATATATATATATATATATATATAGGGGAGGGTTCATGCGAAAATGCAAATAATTTGCGAAAACGCGAAAACAAGAAAAACCTATAATATTATGTCACCTCAACATTATATTTTGGAAAATAATTCATCCAAACTTTGAAATACATGATGATAATCGATGATAGATGATAAACTGTTTTATATTAGCAAAGTATGATTTTTAACATTTGTATTATGAAAACATTAATTTAAAAAGGATTAAGGACGTGAAAAAAATATAATTATAAAAACTGTCTTTAAATCCATATTACCATAACACCATCTAATGTAAACTTACTATCTTTAATTTATTGCTAATAAAATTATTTTTTTATAGTACATGTGTTTAATTTTCATAAGATAAAATATGTTTTCGCGTTTTCGCACGATATTTATATTTTCGCATGAACTTACTTCTATATATATATATATATATATATATATATATATATATATATATATATATATATATATATAAAAGACAAGTCGGTCAAATCGCTAGTACGCATCCTTCATGAAGCCATAATATAAGGGGTATAAGGAAATGACTTATAAAATGACCATTGAATGAGTGTTTACTCTCATCCACCGCTCCCTTGTTAGGTGGGGGGTCGTTAGCCGAACAGATTTGATAAGACATATAACACTCCAATTCAGGTATTCCATTTTAGCCTTTGAAGTATTTCTTTTTGGGCAAATGAGGACCTTCCGTACGTTGGGCGTACATATGCGTACGCTTGGCGTACGCTTGAGCATGCATTGCGGAGCTGAGGCTTGTATGCGGGGCGTATAAGCAAGTACTCAGGGTGTAAGAGACCAGAGACCAAAAACCATAATTTCATGACTTGCACCCTATATAAACAACCTTATATCATTTGGACCAAACGCTAATCAACCTCTATAGCCTCATTTCATCCTTAAACCCTATATTTGCAAAGAAGCGTGATATTTGAGCTCTAAGGTGTGTTTGGTGGCCTTTTTAGAGGGTGTTCAAGAAGAAGAAGGTGGTGTTAAAGTCTTGATTAAGGAAGGAGCCTTTAGATCATGCATATGCAGAATCTTGGGGAGCTTTTTAAGGTAAAAGGCTTCCATCTTGTCTATCATCCTTGCTTGTTGAGTTAGGGTTTTCTAGATTCCATTTTTGAGTCCATAAATCATCTCTTGAGAGTTTTGGCAACTCAAGAGGTTTGGAAGGTTAGATATGAGACTCTTGGACTTGTTTATAGTATAAAATGCAAGCTTAATGTCTTCTATGGCTCCATGCATGAGTTAATACCTTTGGAAAGGTCTTAATGAAGTAGATTGAGTTGTTAAGATCTTATTGTGACAACCTAAAATTTATTCCGTCACTGTAACCCATTTCCGTTAATAAAAATATTTTATTATTATTTTCGTTAACATTTGGGTTAGGCAAATAAGTTAATGTTTTTATTTTATTTCATAAGTGTTGAAACGAAATAAAAACACGTGTAACACCCTCGAATTTATTTGGGAAAAAAATTTAGTTCACGACTAAGTCGGGTTACAACCATTTAATCGGGTAACATTTAAAACTCCATTTAACGTTGGTGTAGGGTGGATCCCCACCTGGCCACCAACTCAATCCCTATATAAGAGTTGAGTGGCTTTCACTTGAACCTTTTCTCACTCCTAAAAGCTTTCTCTCTCTATTCTCTCTCTCTCTCTACAAGTGGGTTTTGGCTAAGAAACACCTCATTCAAGCTCCAAAAACCATAAGTAATCCTTCCTAGCTTGTTGTTTAGCTTTGTATCCATGCAAATTTGGGATTTAATCACCCAAATACGATAAAAACTTGAGTTTACGGTTGGGGAACACCTCCCAAAACCGTGAACTCCCATAAGGGGGTTTTAAAGCCCCAAATTCCCACCAAAACCTTTCTATTGCTTATCTATGACTTAGAAACTTGCATGCATGAAATTAGAAACCCAAAATTGTGCCTTTAGGGGAGTAAACATGAGTTTACGGTCCATGAATATTCATGAACCGTAAACACCAAAACCGTAAACGCCATAAAGGGTGTTTTGGTGTCCCTAACACCTTCTTTAGCATGTTTAATGGACTAGAAACTTGTATGAATGAGCCTAGGACCACAAAATACAAAGGAAATGATGTGCCCAAGGAGTGGTCCAAGGACCGCAAACTCCAAGGGAGTACCCTTTTGAACCCTAATCACTTCCCAAGACCTTTGTTTTGACCTTAGAGCCCTTCCTAGTGATGCAAGAGACATTTAAACACACAAACTCACTATTCCCATGAGTTTACAACCGTAAACTCATGGGGGAGGTGGTCTCTTAACCGCAAACTCATGCTAGGATAGTCACTTGAAGTGTAAACTCCATAGTGAGGCCATACACTCTTTTGAAGCAACCCCTAGCACTCATTGCACTTGTAACATAGTGTTTTCATGCACTAAAGGGCCTTTACTTACTAAATTGGTGATAAAATGACTAATTATACCCATCATGTGCCACTATATGTTACATAGGATCCATGGGCATGTTTAAGTCCTCACTTGACACCTAGCATCCTACCCGACATTCCATCCACTCCACTCGCTGCAGGTGAGTTCATACCCCTTAATTAACCTTTCAAATGTTTTTAAATGATTTTATGCCCGGGGGGGGGGGGGGAATACAAGTTGAATCCAACAATTTATAGTATCAATCACATGTCATTTGTAGCTTACAATCATAAAGGATATGTATACTCTTAACCATTTTCCCATCAAAATTGCTTTTAATGTTTTCAAATTCATTTTCATGATAATTTGTTATAAAAACTATTTTCAAAACTCCTTTAAAACTTATTATGTTTCTAAAATTTATCCACATCAATATATTAATATAAGTAAGACTTGAAGGACTTAGGACTAATAGCTCACCTTATTTCCTGTTCTTGTTTGATTGGGGTCTTATGGTAAATTGATATATGTCCGACTGTCGTTGAATTCTTAGTTATATATTGTATGTATTTGTGTTGGATATGAATACCTTCACTCGGTTCAATACTTATGAGTATCCAAGAATGACTACAACATGCCAGTTAACTATAATAGGTATAGTTAAGATTTACCACTCCTCACTACCACTAAAACAGAATGTGAGACACTATCTCTCTATACGACACTTTACTGCGCCTTCACCGTGTAACCTTAGTCTCCTGGAGGGAGAGCGGGCTCTACTAGTATATATCTATACATGGCAGACACTCACACATCCCGAGTTCTAGCTACAGTCCGAGCCGACTAGGCCCACGGATGATAACATGCTACCACACTACATATGACATGGAGGGTCATGATACATTCAATCGCCTATCCGTATGGTTACATACAGATTCACATTTGCAACCCTAAATTAACAAATTACAAATTAAAGGTAAAGTAGAGTCCCCGAGGTGTATTAAATACATATCACTACTTAGAGTCTGTGGTTATTTACCATCCAGTCAGCAGAATCACTGCTGGAATAATACATTATTTTCCCATTTACTTTGTTCAAATGAAGTCCAAACTATATTTTATTAATTAAGAGTCTAATTGGGAAAACTTTTACATACTCAAAGGATCAAACTTACAAGTAACCAAGTCTTGACAAAAGACTACTTTTATTAGAAAATATAGGATTTTCTAGAGATTCACACTATTTTCAAACTTGATAACAACTTTCATGTTACACGATTGTAAACACTTTTATACAAGCAACGACACTAAACTCTTATGAACTCACCGACTTTATGCTGATACTCATTTTCAAAATAACTTGTATTCTCAGGTCAGCAATAGACAGGTACAAATGCAGCTTTTGAGAAGGCGGAGCACATACAAGACTCCTCTTTATTTTTTATTATACTTTTTGGTGTTTACAAACTGTACATAACACGCTTGTATTACAATTACTAAATTAATGAAGTAGATGTTGTTGCTTGTTTTTACTATTATGCATTGTTATGATACTGTACATGACATCCTCCACCCCAGAACGTATTCTGCTGTTCTCGGTTTTGGGGTGTGACACTTATATAGCATGCAAAGGCATAAAGTTGCCCACTTTATGCCTTACGACCATTAAATCGACCAAGATCTGGAATTTGAGTGAAGAGCCTGAATGCATTAAGCACTTAATGGATTTTGTACATGAGCAGTTTGTACGTTGGGTGTACTATGTTGTACGCTAAGCATACATAAGTGGTACACCGGGCGTACGCTCTCAACAAGCTTTGGGCCTTAGCGGAATTCAGACTTTTGGGCCTTAATGGTTTTAGGTATGGACTTTCTGGTGTTTGGGACTTAATTTATCTATGGGCCAATGTTTTTATGTTTGGGCCTATTCAGCCTTGTGGCTCAATATAGAATTGGACTTTTATGCTAGGCCCATTAGTGAAGGAATGACCTTTGGGCCATTCTGGAGGGACTTAGACTTAGAATTTTGGGCTCTTTGATTAGGTTGAGTTATAATCCTAATTAGGGTATTTTTATATTTGTTTAGTGTGAGATTTTGGCTGGTAGTTGAGTAGTGATTGTTTTCAACAGACTGAGGTAAGTC